TACTAATCCCACTGCTGTCCACAAATCTACCTTATATTTCTCATTTCAGATAAAGAGAAATAAAGACTGCCTTTACCAGCACCACCTACTGCTTCTACATTATAAGAACTGGACCGAAGTGATACCTGAATTTTTGAAATTATGTAAGCCTTTTTAGTTAGTAGAGACAGAGTCTAGCCTAAAAGTGAATATTAACTTTTCCTTCAGTATAAAATGCGTGGTTAATTTTAGGGATACTAAAAACATAGTAGTCATACCAAAATTTCATCTAGTTCTTTGGAATAAATATATTAAGATTGATCAGAATTCATGTGTTTTTAATAAATATGTGAAAATGTAGTAATGAATATGTTCACTATCAACCAAATGGCACAGACACCCCTTTTTTTTGGTACCTTCAAGTTAGTCTTGAGCCCTCACAAATACATGGACAAATCTATACAGTGTTCTTGGGAACACTTTTCAGAAATAATTGGCCATTACATTCTTCCTAGGGCTGAAAGAGAGTGCTTGAGCAAATATTAGTTTGCTCAGTAACTACAAGCATGGCTTCTAAAAGTTCTGGATACTCTAGAGCAGTTTTGTAACAGACTGTAGTGTTATCTTCAAAGATATGAACTTAACATCTTTAAGGTGTACAGTAAAAAAAATATCCATTAATTTCATGCCTTTCCAAACTACGCAGCCCATAGAATTGTGCAGTGTAAATAGTGTGTGGTCCATATGACTAGTGATTATGAATTGTACTTCCAAATTGTAAGAAAGCTTTATTTTTATAGCAAACTAGTATACTTTAATTATTACAGCACTGTTTACTTTGGAGAGAGACAGATCACAAAATCTCTTAACTCAAAGGACTCTCCACTGCAAATTATTTTGGAAGATCATTTTCTTTTCCTGATTTACAGAACAGGTGATAAATGTTAAGGGATAACAGACTGTTTGGAAGCATGATATGTAAAGAAGTTCCTGAATAAGTCACTGTGACATTTAGTACTGTATGATGACTTATGAACATGCTTTAACAGAAGCTGAAGTAGTTTCAGATACTTAATTCATCTAAAGTCTCCAGCAGCACTGCCTATTATTGGTACATTTCTCAATAAACATTCCAAGTTTGGAACTTCATGCATTAAAGGTTAACTTTTAGCCTTCCACTAATAAAATCCACATAACTTCTTTAACATTTAAGTAAATAAGAATCTTCCCCATTTTTGATGAATTTGTAAAAATGAATCAGTTACCAAAACCTCATCCTTTTTTATAAATCCTAGATAAACAAGCAGATACATTCCTACAGTACTGCTTAAATTAAATGAAAAGTAATTTTGGAAAACTGCTGATTGTAGCAGCAGAACATCAAAATGTTTTAACAGCATTTTTATTCATACTTAGAAAAGTGCACAAAATAATTTAATTTCCATGACTGATAAAATACTGATTTTTCCCCATTTTTTAATAAGGATACAGGGCATAAAGCGACTCACACTATGCCCTTGTTAGCTGATTCACATTTTTATCTTAACGAAGTATTTTAAGGGAGGTATCATGGACTTGGAAAGGAAATTAAATGTGCCTCCCAATGTAGCTTTAATATCCTTATAGCAATTTCTCTTGGATCAAGCCTGAGCACTGTACAGTGGGCATACTTTGAATATGTGATTTAAAACTAGAATGTCCTTTCTTGCCAATTTAAGAAGTCACCAATTTAAGAAGTCTGAGATATTTCTGCCATGTAATGAATGAAATGGGTACATACACACATACAATATAAAGACTGGCTCTGAGTTTAACAAAACAAATCCTACTGGGTATCCCAGTAAGTGAAATGCTATGGGAACTTTCTGTAAATTTCTACCCAACACCATATATAGTAGTATTTGGTAGAGTTGTGCAACATAGTGAAGCTCCACCTGAAAGCATCACTTCAAACTGGTATGAGGCAGTTCTTTGGTTCAGAAAATCAAATCACCTTGCATCAACTAGAAGCACTGAGAGGGTCAACTTGATTTAGCCAGTAACTTCATTCTAATGGGAAGGGCTTTTGTGTATGAGCAGCAGCTCTTTATAATGGTGAGACTGAAGCAGAACAGCCTTCTGATCTAGTGCTTCGAAGGGAACCTCTGCTTCAAGCTGCGACATCCCTTTCAAGTTGCACACAGCCTTAGTAATCAGCAAATCCCGTCCATGGTGATGTGCTGTATCATATTAAAAAACAGCAACCAAAGATAGAATCCTAAGTGAAAAGAATCTTTTAAAACATTTATTATTTTAATTACTTACCATATTTCTAAGTTGCCCCAACCACTTAGGCACAACACAATCACTATACACAGTGAAAACCATAATATAAAGGGCAAACAAGTCAAAACACCTGTCACTGGTGCATGCCTCCACAAAAACTTGGGGAGTGGAGGGATGTTCAGCAGGTGCTGTCTTGCTGTTTGACCACCCAGGCAGATTCTACCTTGGCAAGGCATTCTCTGATAGTTTTTTTTATATTTTATTTTACTCTCCTAACCAAGATTCTCTAGATTAACAGTGGTTTGTTTAGCTTTAAGAAAAAGTAGTGACTGAACTGGGACTCTTTCACATGACGAATGAATCTATTTACATGATCTCTCATTTTGTAGGTTGCTGTTTATTGGAAGGAAGTAGACTGGGTAAGCATTGGTCAGTCCTACTTGGGAACAATATTTGAGACATCCCCAAGCTTGGCTTGAGCTAGTAAGCAGTCTTTACACAGAGATTGTTTCCTGTGATCAAACTTCAAATCTAGAATGAAAACCAGAGAGCTGTTTATGTGGTCTGTGAAACTGTGAATGGCTCTTAGCAAGGCCACCAATAACATGATAGATATTGACTGGGGAATTAACATCCTTAATAGTACAATCCTGTACAGTACAGTGGCATTTCTCAACCTTGGCGACTTTAAGATGTGTGGACTTCAACTCCCAGAATTCCCCTTCTAGCATCCTGGGAGTTGAAATCCACACATCTTAAAATTGCCAAGGTTGAGAAACACTGCTCGTTCAGTGACTGTTTGAAGTTATGATGGTGCTGAAGAAGGATATTTACAACCAGTTCTTGAACTTATGGCTATTACAGCATCCCCATAAGTCAAGTAATTGTGATTCGGGTGCTTGGCAACCAGTGTGCATTTACAATGGTCACAGTGTCTCACGCTCACATGATCACCATTTGAGACCTTCACAGCCAGCTTCCAAGAAACAAAATCAACGGGGAAGCCAGCAGGAAGTTGCAAGTCATGGTCACATGATGTCGTGCTTAACGACCGCAGGTGATTTGCTTAAAGACAGCAGTGAGAACTGACGTCATAAGTCGAGCACAATCATGTGCTGTTTCACTGTACAACAGCATCACTTAGCAATGGAATTGCCAATCCAATAGCAGTCAGTAAGTGAGGACTACCTGTACAGGTATACTGAGAAGTAAATACCATAAAATGCATTGCTTACTGCCAAGGAAGAAGGTACTGTACAAGACTGCAGTCTAAGTGGAAGATATAATTTCAACTACTTGTGAATAAATCTCTTTTTGAACCAGTAACATGAAGCAGCATGATTTTCAAGCATTTTTAATTCTGGTAGTAAAGGCAATAACACAAATAATAAAATATAATAAAACAATCACACAAAGTAAAGATCAAGTGAACCAATGGTTAAAATCAAATCCAACATATTCCCAAATCAGCTTATGAGCCAAACATTTTTGCCAGTCAACAGAAGGTTCCAAAGTTTTAAGAACTGCCACTGAGATGGCCCTTCTTGTGCTTGTAACAAATGTGTTTCAGCAATTTTAGACACATAGATGTTTCTCCAAGATTTTAAAACATGGCCAGGTTTATATGATACTAGAATTGAGGTTTCTTTTTCAGATTCAAGACTTCAATGTTATACTCTTTTACCCAATTTAAAATTTGCTCGCTTTAATTGAACTTCTGAATAGATATGTCTTTTGATCATGTTACGTTTTGAACTTACATTATTTTATGCTATAGGCCACCCATATAACTACGTTATGAGGGAGCTACATAAATATTCATTAAAAATATTCTAATTTTGACCCACTGCCTTTACAAGACAGCTTACAAGATTCTAAAACGTATCTAAACACAATTACAGCGAAGCCTTGATTTAATGGACCAACTGGGGTGAGAGGGTGTCTTGTTGCTCCTGAATGTCTGTTAAATCATAATTTATATGAGTTGGTGTAATGACATCGTTACAAAAATAAAATAAACTCCATCATCCACATCAATTGAAACTATAACCTCTGGTCTCCATGTACAGTATCTGCAAAGCCACATGGGTGAATCGTGTTCTCATTCCTAAATCTGCTTTTTGTTTAAGACTTTTGCCATTGTCCACCCAAGCCCACCCTTGGATCTTGGGTCAAACACTCGCAGGGCTGTCCAAGGATAAAACTGAACGCAACCACCTCATCCACAGAAAAACTGGAAAGAAGGGGGGAAGGAAAAGTTCCATGGCAGGCAGAAATTCAACTGGTTTAGCTCTTCGACGCAAGAAATGAGAGCCGTTTGTTGCATTTCTCTTGTCCGGAAAAAGACATGTTTTTCACCCCCCTCGCGCTTCGGAGCCGGTCTGCCCGCGGAGGGAACCCCCTGGCCGGTCTCCGTCCAGCCTCACCACCCCCCGCTCGC